GTCATAACCTCCTAGGTGGTCTCCTCTTGGGTGCTGTGCCCATCATCCCGTCTCCATTTAATCTTTTGCCCATTAGATCTTCACTCGTGAGCCAGGACAAGTTTCTCAGAAAGTTAATTGGACCAATTATCCTCTTGCTTAAACCCTTCTGTGGGTCACCATTGTTTTGGGGATAAAAGCAAACTTTTAAACTGCCCATGAGACTCCACAGGGTTTGGTTCTGCTCATCTCTTCATCCCCATCTCTCATGTTCTCTCTTCAGCAACTTTAAGTCCTCCAAAGGGGTTCTCTGCACACCCCTTCTGTCGTTAATGTTCCTTCCTTCCTTTTGGTCTGGTGGACTTCTGCCCACCCTCTAAATCTCAAGCAAAGTATTGATTCCTCAAAGATACTTTCATGCATGGAGAGAAACAAAGCTTTTGGAACACTGACTTTGCAAGTGTTCCAGTGCATCTCTTTTTATAGACTACTAGTAAACCTGCAGACACTACAAACAGCTTGTCTGAGATTCAGTTTTAGGTCTGCCAATTATTTGCTATGTGTTCTGAAGTTACTTGGCCTTTTGGCGTTTTAACTTTTCAGCTATAAAATGGGATTGGATGATTTGATGATGTGGTGCAATAACTATCAGGCATTATTGTTATTGCTGTTATTTTTCCATTGGTACTTCATCTCCAGTGTAGATGAATGGAGCCAGCCTCAGGTACAATCCTAATCCTGTCAGAGTTGATGTGGATCACATTTTCTACTATTCTTTGAGGACTTCCCCATCCCAGGAAGCTCTCTGATGGCCATGTGCACCTCAGTGGGAGCCTAAGCAACTGCAGTGTGGAGTCTCTGCTTCCCATGGGCAGGAGCACTCAGCTCATTTAAGAATAGAGAGTGGATATTAGAAAGGGGAAGCATTGAGGTGTCCTAGGTCTTTCTCAGAGTTCCAGACCCTGACTCTAGTGCAGTTTGGTCTTGCAAATCCCTTCCATGAAAACCAAGCCCAGAAAATAATCATAAAGGGAGTCCAGTTCATCTGGAGTAGGAGTAGTGGGATTATCATTTGCTTTATAAGAATTACCTGATATTCTCCAAGTTTCCTTTTCCCTTTTCTTGCTCTTATGTGATTCTTGGTGCCTTCTTACTACTGTTAGGGTGCCTTTTAGGTGCTTTTTCTGGGCTGGACTTGCCTAGTAGTGCCTCAAGATGAAGGGGAAAACTGGATTTCCCAGGCTTCTCCAGACAGAATTCCTGATCTCTCAGGCTTGGCCATTCTACAGCCACATCATCTGTGTGAGGTAGAATTTCCAAGACAATTCAGATTTCAAATAGACCTTTTGTCTGCATGTGTCCTTGTCACATGCTCTGACTTGGGGTTTAGAGAATAATATTTTGGAATCACAAATGGTCTGAGTGCTAATCTTATAGACAGGCACTATTCAAAGTAATTCTCAGACAACTCATGCCTTTAATAGGAGTCATCTGGAGGCAGACAACCCATACACAAAAGAGAGCAGGAATTTGAATCATGGTGAGTAACTCTTGAGGAAGGTAGAAGCTGGCCTTTGGTATCCTTCAAACCCACAATGCTGGTTGCCACAAATTTTTAAAAAACCTTTCTGTGTGTACCAGGCCTTTTTACTCATAATCAGCTCTACTATTTATAATGCTATTAGATTCTTTTAACATTCTGTTCTGATTATATATGCATTTATTTTTTGACCTTCTCCACTGGATGCAAGCTCTTGGAGGACTTGTTGATATTGTACTCCATTTGTATATGGGCATTCTCTTGTCCATCTTTTTTTATGGAAACGCAAAATCTCAGACTGTAAGATACAATAAAAATAATCCATTCTCATGATGCCATTAGACATGGTAACCTATAGCTGCATGATTTGGATGAGTGAATGAATACAATACATGAGTGGGTGGTTAGATGGAAAGGCAGGTAGATATATGCATGGATAAGTAGATGGGTAAGATTGATGGATTGGAGAATAAATGGGTATAGCAATACAAGGATGAATGGGTGCTGAGTGGATGGACTGATTTATGGACTCATGCTTCATAAAACAGATGGAGGGATGTGTGGGTAGATGAATGGATGGATAGATGGATGAATGGGTTGGTGCATTGGATGGAAAGTTAGCTGATGGGTGGATAGACTGATGGAAGGATAGATAATAGACAGCTGGGTTCCTGTATGGATAGGTAGAATAATCTCCCTCATTAAGGGAGAGAAATAGTGTGCATGGTAAGGTTTTGGGCTAGTTTTGTCTACTTCATCATCCATATCACTACCCCAGCAACTTGAGGTAGTAAAGGATAGTCCCTTGGGAACTGTGATTAAGAGCAGGATCACTGAAATAGGACTAAGTGCTCACTCTACTTAACCTCTTGAAGACTCAGTTTTCTTATTATAAGATGAACACAAAATAGTACATGCTTATAGTATTGAGGTGATCAAATGAGCTGTTAGCAGCAAAACACTTATAAAAGGGTCAGTTCCTTGCAAGTACTCATTATTTTATTATTCATATTTTTAGCTGTGTAAGCCAACAGACATAGGAGAGTCTGCCATCTAATATAAGACCTCGAGATGTCACCCAGTGCAAAATTTCAGTTAATAAATAGGAAAGTAGATAAGCAAAGAACACCTTACTCACAGATGGGGCTTGGAGCATTATTTGGTTGACAGTAGCCCAAGTTTGCAGATGTCAAGATGAAGGCAGAATCTCAGTTATTAAAATTAGACTTCAAGTAAACAATAAGGCTTGGAGGGAATAAGGGGAAAGTCAGGGCTAGAAAAGATGAACGTTGAGACTGTAGCTGGTGGGTCTGGACCTGGTTAAATCCTGACAAATCCTGGGCACTAGAGATGAGCTGAGTTTGCAGAGAGGAGCAAGTCTAATGACTCAAGCATGGCCTTACCTTAATGTAGAATATTTCTGAGGGCATATATGCAGTGAGGATTTCAGTCTGAAGCCTGAGCTGGATTCTTCCTACAATTCACCTTTTTTTTTTGGAGAGATTTTCACTGTAGGGCGCGTGGGCTCGCCAGACAGACAGAGAGAGACATAGAAACAGAAAGCGAGAAATCACCCCCCAGAGGGGATGGTCACGCCGCAATCCCCTCTCCTCCATTCTCCTCTCGGGATCTTGGGCACGCATGCACACGCGCCTGGCGTGAGTTTTAAGCCACCGGGTCCGAGACACGAACCGCGGTCGATTACGTGGGAGTCCAGCGACATAGCCATTACGCTAACTGCTGGTTCCCCTACGATTCAGCTTTTCAGGGCTCACTTTTGTATAAAAAACTAAGGAAAAGTTCTTGGGGAAAAACTTACTTAATGAGAAGAGAAAGTCAGAATTCCAGTGTGGTCTAGTGATAGTGGATTAGTGTTTGAAGTTAGGAGCCATCTTGAATACCTTATATGCTAGTAATAGTGAATAAATTGAGGCATCTACTCTATGTGAGGCACAATGCTCAGAGCTATGTATGCTAATCAAGTCTAATTCTCAGAACAACCCAATGAGGTTTTACTGCTACAGGTAAGGAAAGTGAAACTTAGAGATCTGTATGCCTGGGCCATAGTCAAACCATTGCTATGTATGAGACCTGGGACTCCAATGAGCAGAGTCCCAAGGCTGTACTCTTAGTGATTATACCACATTGTTCTTTGTGCTGTTTGCCCTTTTGGTAAAAGTCTCATTTGACTAATAGCTAAAGTAATCCTTTTCTTCCAGAACTTCATTCTATAGCCAGTGGCCATGCATGTGGGAGAAAGTTCTTCCTTATCTGTTCTCTCTACACCTCCTCCGACTGAAGAAAGAAATGTTAAAAGGGGTGAGAAGTCCTTTTTAGCTCTGGACTGAGTTATTCTGGGAACCAACCATGCATCACTGTGGGTGGTAAGTCTTAATTAACAATCTCCAATTCTAGGCCAGGGTAGTCAGGGATTCTGAGGGAGGCATCTCCACCAGAAGTTTTCATGCCATTTTAGTTATTGGTTTCACCTGGAGAGTCTTAGAACTATGTGCAGAGATTTCCAAGACTCAATCTGTAGATTTCTCTGAGATATTCCTACAAATATTTGTTTAAAATGTTCTCCAGATTATTACAATTATCTGACAAGTTTTGGATCTCTGATTGAGATTATAATCTACTATGTGAATAGGATAATACTATTTCAATCTATTCATTGATTAATTCTTTCTAAAAACACTAATTAATAACCTTTTTTGTCAAGTAGGGTCCTGGAAGGGAACTAATGACAAGTTGCTATGGGGTATTTTGAAGAGTGCTTAAAAAGTTAATTGTTTTTGAAATTTAGTGTAGGGTTTAAAGAAACCAACCACGTGATAGTGCAGTGGTTCAGGCAGGCATTCCATCAAGAAGCTGTTACTACTTGTAGGCTTGACATGCAAGAGGAAGAAGTGGTCACTAGAGTTCCAAGAGATGGGTGGGTAGAGAAGGGCCCCTGACAGAAGACACAGCCTCTGTGAGGATACCCACATCACAGGAGAGAGTTGGGGATGAGCACCTTGACCTCAGTAGTGATCAAACGCAACTAAAAGGGATTACTTTGACATGGAACACAAAGTTTCACTACTCAGGGCACAGAGCTAGTGGAACAGAGTGTAAAATGGGTCAAGAGGAAAAAATAAATAATTGCCACCATGTGTACAAAGCACCTAACACTCTGTTAGGTATTAGAACTCCAAAGAATATCAAGAAATGGTCTTGGGGCCAGTGCCGGTGCTGTGGTTAAGCCCTATGCACAGGGAGCCGGATACCACGTTGCCAATTGAGGTTCGACTCTTGGACTCTGCAGTGTGAGAAAACATGCTGAGCTTGCACCTGTGTGCCCCGAATCCTGACGGGATGGGAAAATTGAGGAAAAGGAATGTCAGCATGACCTCACCCCACTGGAAAGTGGGTACGTGCTCTCTCCTCTGAGCATGTGTGCTCTCCGGCAGTAAAAAAGAAAAAAAGAAAGGGTCTCAGCTCTATGAAATTTGGAGATTTGTTGCATACTTGTCTAGAAGATCCCCTTCACTGCTAGGTTTCTGGGATGCTGGTGATTGAAAGTAAAGAGTTTAAAAAAAAAAAAAAAGAAGCATGTTTATTTCCTCGCACTTTCTTACTGTTAGGTCTCATGTCACGGATATCCCCAGGAATGATTCTCTTCCTTTCTTTGAGTAGATGGTGATGGTGCTGATTGTAGTGAGGCTAGAATTCTGACTACTTTTCCTATTTCCAAAATTCTTTCCAGAGGACCAGGGTGTGTGTGGGGGTTTCATATCTACGACATTAATGTAGAGTAAGCCTTATCTCTGTTAAAGTAAATTGTAGGCGTTCTTTTGCTAATCTCTTCTTGAGACTTTCTTTTCCAATCACCAACCTAAGAATTTCAAACTCACCTATAACCTTCAATCCTCTGCTTGCAGATGTCCCACCGTTGGAACCAGCCCAATGTAGAAGACTCCTTATGCTGAATCACAACTCTTCTGCTCTCAAAACTATAAAAGAAACCACCATATCTCAGCACCCCTAGAACCTGCTTCTCTTTATCCACATATGTCACTCAATTTCGTGCTTAGTAATAAACTGCATTAATTATTATTTCTACAGGGTTGGTTATTTCCATCCACAGTAGGAATTGAGATTCTTTTCCTCTCACCCACAACATGCTTATGAACCTCACTTTGATGAAGTGTCTCTTGATGCTGACATTTATCTCCATTATCTTAATTACTGAGCATTTAGGGCAAGTCATGTCCTAAGTGGATATATTTCATCATCTGACATGCCACATTTTTTTTTGTTTTTATTTATTTATTTTTTTGTTGTTTAAGAGGAGTTTTTGCTATAGGACGTGTGTGCTCACTGGAGAGACAGAGAGAGACAGAGAGACAGAAAGCAAGATATCACCCCTTAGGGGAGATGGTTGCACCCTTCTCCTGCATTCTCCTCTTGAGATTTTGGGCATGCATGCACATGCTTCCTACGCTTGACTACATGGAAATCCAGCTATGTAATCATTACACCATGTGCTGGTCCCAGCATACCATGTTTTTACACAGATATTAATTACCCACAAGAAGGACAGGGATTTTTAGAAGTTCATTTTGTTCCCTGCTTTAACCCCAACAGCTAGAACATCATAGACCTCCAGTAAATGTTGAATAACTACTGCAGTTTGAATGTGTCTCCTAAAGTTCATGTGTTGAAATTTGGGGGGAAAATGAAGAGGTAAGACACTTGTGGGACACAGATCAGGTTTAGTATCTGTTGACAAGGATGCATATGGTGATCTCAGCTGGGCTGGACTGAGGCGTTTATCATGCTGGGTAAAGTCTCTTCACAATCTAAATGATGTATAGTGATTTAATGTATGAATAATAATAAAAATATATTTAAAAAACTTAATCCCCAGTGAGATAGTATTGGGAGGTGAGAATAATCAGAGGTGATTGTGTCAAGGCTGGAGCCCTCATGTGTGGATTAATGTGGGACTGGTTAATTATCTCAGAAGCAAGTTGCTCTAAAAGGGAGTTTACTCCTAGTGCTTCCTCTTTCTCTCCCTTGAGTGTATTCACTTACTCCTACCATGGGATGACCCAGATACCACCACTGTGTTTGTGGACTTCCCAGGCTACAGAACTGTGAGAAAAAAAAAAATCTCTTTTCTTGATAAATTACCCAGTTTGTGGTATTCTGTTACAGGAACAGAAAATAGACTAAGTCAATCACTGTATAAGTCATCTCGTCCACCTCTCACAAGGACCCTGTGAGGTGATATATGTTATGTTTTTTTTTTTTTTCCACAGATGGGGAAACTAATACTCAGATCTTAGATACTTTTGAAGATATTTTAGTTTTAGGGGCCATGACCTGAGGCTGGGAAGTGAAGAAGGGAAATGACTCAGAAATGAATTATTTCTTTAGGAAAATGTGAAAAAAAATCAATTTAGCCCAGTTTTGTTTATATAGAAGGCAATTATATAAAGAATCCATCATGAACTTGTTTCTGTGAACTGTATATTTACTGCTCCACTTATCATTGGCATTTGTGTCGAGGAAGGAATTACATCCATGGACTCTGAATGAACAATGAGGAAATACCACAAGCCAGGTCTTAATGTAAATGTTATCTCACTTCCTTCTTGCCATAACTTGGTTATAGTCCCATCTCATAGGTTAAAAACAGGTGGTGACGATATTTCCCCAGGTCATGAGACAAAGATGAAGCTGCCTATCTTTCTTCCTTCCCATCTCTTAATGACCCTACTCATGCATTCAGCTTTTTGGCAAAATAGCCTTTGTCACCATTGTATCTCTAGTACCCAGCAGAGGTCAGATCAGTAGTAGTGGTACTGGCCCTTGAGAAGTAAAAAATAAGTCTTATTAACTTGGTCTTAAATAAAATATTTACCAGATAAAGAAAGGGAATATTCCCTAGAGTCCTAGGTAACTTTACATGATAAGAT